ACTCTGTAAACAAAATAATCCCTATTTCAAAATTGTCACTTTAATTGGAAAAACTCTTTAACCCACAAATCCATGCACGTATCTTTTTTGGGGGGTAAAAAGGGGTGTGACATGATGCACATTGCCGTTTTTTTGACTTTACAGGTTACTCATGAATAGACTCTGTAGCAAAGAGAATCAAGCGCTACCATGAATTAATCTTTTAATTGTTACATCAGAACTATTACAGGTACTACTATATATCAAATCTACTTACTCTATGAGATTATACTTTTGCTGTTGGGCTTGTGGTTTAATTGTATTAAGCTGTTGGTTACTATCATAAATGGTATTCTAAAATATTAACTTGGAGGCACTCGGTCAGAAAATGGTAGATAAGACTAGGGCGCGACAGTAAAAGCTATTGAAATATGCCAATGAACTTATGGAAGAAAAATACATTTAAAGACTAAAAAGGAACATAACACAAAGTGGAGCGAGTATTTTGAAACTAACCTATCGTTTTAATTTGTATTTTCTGTGTAATTAGCTATGCATCAAATTGAAAACCATTTTGCACTTCTACTTTGTCTTCTATATTTTCCCTAATTCAAAAACAAATACTTTCTATCTCACCTTTTTTTTGTTGCTCATTTGCTTAATGTTGATTTTTTTATGTACTATGTATCTGAAAGCTATTATACTTGATTTTTACTGTTAAAGTGAGAATATGAAGAGATTAGTGTATGCTTGTGTTTATTAATTCCACTTGCTGGTGATGTTTATGGTATTAGGTGAATGATTCACCTGTTAATAATTCAGCAGCATTTATAATTGAGATGTCAACATATCGAAATACTTAGAGTTTATCTTGTACTTGGATGTAGCTCTATTTACCATCATTTGAGCAAAGGTGAAGTGAAATTGTTCATTGTAATTAGGAAAAAATTAATATATTGTCAAGTGTTCTATTACGTATTCACAAAGTTGTTTTTGCTATATTTTTCATAATTTCATTTCTTTGAATACCAGGATTATTATTTAAGGTGTGTATTTGGTCGATCATGTTTTAATTCAATATAGTGAGTTAATATAGTTCCATAATATAGACCGTTGTTATAAACAGTGGTGCTGTTATTGTTATTAGAGCATTCATGATTTTTCTCGACAGTATTCTCTCCTCTTGGTTGATTCGAAGGTGTTTATATACTAGAGAAAGTGCGAGTGTCGGAGGCCGAAATGCTTGTCAGAATAAAGCAACAGCTTAACTTCAAGACTAGAAATCCTTATTGTGAGTACATATATGTTATGAAAATGTATTCATCTTTTATCTCCTTTTACTCTTTTTTTCCCTCCCATTTTCGTGTTTAGGTCTTTTTAATGACTCTTTGTGCTCAATCTCACGTTTCATTCTCCCATCCTTTTTTATTCTTAAATTCAATTTTCAGTTGTGCACTGGATGATGCAATAAATCAAGATTTTGTGTGCAAAAGAGTGGCTGCTTGCTGTGTATTAATTCCTTCCAAAAGGAAAACGACTTTTGGTCATTATGGAGTAATTTTGTATTTACTAGCTATATATGATATTCAATAAAAATGTAATAAAGTATCAAGAAGAAAAACNAAAGAATTTTTTTTATGACATTTAATCAATTATAAGAAGTTATGAGCTAATTATTGGTACTTTTGTCTTTCTATTCTTTTTTCAGAAATTTATTAACTTCTCTGGCCGATCACACAACCAATTTCATCGTTTTTGCTTTCACGTAATTATGTTTAAGTTAAGACAAAGGAAGGTGAATTTGTGCATGTAATACTCATGACAAATATTTCATACCAAATTGGGAGTGTGTCTAACGATAGTGAAAAATTAGATATAAAAAATGTGAAGGAGAAAGATGTCTCAATATGACAAAACAATGACATTAGAAAAAAGAATTCTTCTATGGAGTTAGTCTTTAACCCTACAATATTTAGTAACTTCCTGTATACACATTTAATAATCCTATATGTTTATAGTTTTAGGTCGAAAACTCTATCTATCTATTTTTTCCAAAATTTTAAAAAACCTTTTTTATTTTATAAAATTATACGGTACTATAATTTTTCGTCCATAAGTCTTCCATAAAATTAAAATACTTATTTGAGGTTTTGAACATGTTTACTAACCGCTCATGTTCTTTTTTTTTAAGTACTTTGGTAGATTTCTGCTAGGGGTGTACATAGGTCGGGTTGGTTCGGATTTTACAATTACCAAACTAAACCAATTGTGTCGGGTTATTAATTCTAAAGACCAAACCAAACCAATAAAACTCGGGTTTTTCACTCTCGATTTTTCTCGGATTTTCTCTGGTTTTTGGGTTATTCGGGTTTTTCCCGGTAAAATCTTCATAGAACAAAACATATAAATTATGCTCAAAATATTTCTTTAATCCCAGTAAGATACAACTATATAAAGTATTTTCCAAGAAAATAATACGAAATATGAGATGTGTCATGACATTATCATAAAATATTCTACAATAAAGACAATAAAATTATGTAATATGAATATTGCTAATTAAAAAGCCATAATAAAAATAAGCTTAATCTAAAAGTACTAAGTCATGCTAAAATAAGTAGACTAATAAGGGAGTATTAATTACATGACTAAACGCTAAAGAAAAAATTAAAATAGGATATGCATTTTTATCTAAATTATTGCCAAACAAAAAATAGATATTCAATACATTCTCATTTGTAGTATTGAATTGAATGACTTTTATTAGCATTAGTATTGATTTGATTTTGGTTTGGGCTTTTGTTAGCATTATTTAATTTACTAATATTAATGGCTATAAAACTTATTGGAACATTCAAAAGTTCTAAGTCCAACCTTGAAATAATACCTTAAAAGATAAAATTATAAAAAAATTAAGAAATATTTATAAATTACATCACAATAAGTATATTTATATATTAAATATATCTAAAATTTCTATATATGTAATGTCGGGTTGGTTTGGTTTCGGTTTGACTTTTTTTAGTTAAAACCAAACCAAACCATTTATGGTCGGTTTTTTTTCCAATACCAACCAATTCAAACCAAACCATAGTCGGATTTTTTTTCTCGGTTTGACTCGGATTATCGAGTTGGTGCGTTTTGTCGGTTTCCTTTGTACACCCCTAATTTCTGCCTTATTATTTGGTTATTCTCCCCTTCCACTATAATTGTATTTGTTAAAATATAAATATGATATGTATTAATGTCTATAAGTATTCACATTTGTAGTATGTTTTGCATTAGTTGATCAATATAAGTATTTTTGAATTTTTTTTAGTAGAATGCGAAACTCTATCAGTGTGAAAAGAAACAAGCACTCGGGTGAAGGTTGATAATTGGTGTTGTCGACTTCAAGAAGCAAATTGATTAGTGTTGCTGTTTGATAACGAATTGCTTTGTTTTTATTATTTTCCTTTTGTATGGTTAGAGACTTCTTTTCAATAAGACTTGCATATTAAAAAAAAAAAAGAGTTGTTTGTAAATTTATTAATCACCGCGTGAAGCGCGGATAAATTCACTAGTTAATGTATAATTTCAAAAAGACTCGCACGATCTCTTTCTTCTTATTCTTTCTTTATTGCACCCATTTGAAGCTTACATAGTAATGAAAAGACTGATTCACTGGTTGGATCGAAAAAATAAATAATATTTGAAGAAGAACTATAATAAAGTCCAAGAAAAATCAATGTCCTAACTTTAGTTCGAAATTCAACTTTCCAAAAGATTTTGAAAAGAAGTTGAAGGTTCATATTTCATTTTGAAGTTGAAAATTCAAAGGTTGAATTGATCAAACTACTTGAATGGTGTTAGTGACTTGAATTTGAGGAGAAATCAGAACCACCATTGTCAAAAACTAAAAAACTTGATGTGGAAAGCTGAATTTGAAATGTATTTGAGTATTGCTAAGACTTGTTGAACTAGTTGGGTGAATGAAAATTCGAATTTTGGAAGCCGGTAAATGCTTATTCACACCAGATGTTTATACCTGACTAATAATTAGTATTAAAAATCAACAAATCAAAGTGAAAATAATCTAACTAAGTTAAGTGTTAAAAAATATATATGTACAAGAGACATATAGAAGAATTTACCTAAATAACTGTCACTCAATCGTTTAAATTAAAAATAGTCGTTGGGAGAAAACCATACGTGTAACATATTGTATAATCAATATATAATTTATGTTTACAAGCTAGAAATACAAATAATAAATTCAATCGGCTATTTATGTAAAAATTATTGATTTGGTGTAAACACCCCATGTTTTATCTTGGAAGACGTCGAGGCCAATTTGAGGAGGGTTAGATCGAAATTTGAAGCTCAAGAATGAAGAAGAGTTGCAGTCAACTTCAGATATTTGACTAAAATATCAAACAAAAATTATAGATATTTGAGTGAAACTTCACACAAAATAATTTTAGGCAAAAATTAAAACGTCAGACAAATTTTTTTAGATAAAATGTAAAATTTGAAGACAAAAAAGTTTGAGACTTCAAACCAAACTTCAGACTTATGGTTAAAAAAATTGAAAGATTAGATTTTGAAATGATTCGAATTACAAAAATTTATGAACTCTGACTATGCATTAAAAATGTATTTTTTTTTTAACTTTTGACCCTCGATTGCTTCATAAACTTCAAATTTAACAAGTATGGTAGGTTATTTGTGTAATTCAACTTTAAACAGGGATCCTCAAAGTGGCTATCTGCGCAATTCCAGCAAGCCCAACCGCGCAAGTTGAACCGCCTAGGCGCCTAAATTCATTCTCTTCGTCTTATAAATCGAAGGTTCAAATTTGAAAGGCTTCATTGATCACTGCACTTAGGTTTTCCAAAATTTCAACTTTCAGGAAAAATACCATAACGTAATGAGGCGAAGATTCAAATCCGCTATTAAATTTCCAGCAAAAACCCTAAGCTCTTCAGCTGGAGTGGTCACTCAACCTCAGGGCCTCGAAGATGCACGATCCGGTACTGATTGTCACTTGAATTTGCAGTTCTTTTCTGACTCTAGTCGGAATTATATTATTGTTGGTTGCTCGATATTTTGTTTCAGCTACTGGATTACATTTGCTGCTCCACATTATCAAATATTGGTGTGAATCATTGTAAAATGGTCTGTGTATCATCAGGAACATCGGCGGATGTATATAGAAGGCAGTGGCTGGAGCTGCACCTGTTGCCTTGATTCAAAACCTAGAAAAATTATTTAGAAGTTTTGTGTAATATATTTATAGTAATTTCGAACCATAGTAGCAAAAAAAGGGAAATAATCTTCTAGTATTCTGCATTCACTGACCTAAATCCTGAATATATCTTTGTGCATGAATTGTAACAATGATAACTGATTAAGTCTTTTGGGCCAGAGCATTATGTGAAAAAGGTCCCTAAGATTAGCCACCAGGAAATGAAGTTGACTAACGAGAGGTGGGTTCTTGGGGATTTAGTAACTTCTCAGAATTGGAAGTTAGTACTTTTACTCTAGGTCCTTGCTTCCAAAGATTGGTTTATCCTTTTATAGATTTATATGTTTAGAAAATACAAAGAAATTCTAATACTTTTAATTTGTGTTTGCCAAATATTAGCATGATATGAGTTTAAATGGAGTAATGTGGTCAGTGAGGATTCATATAGCCGACCTCAACTTGTTTAGGATTGAGACATATTTGTTGTTCTAACTCAAGGCTACCTCAAACCATCATAGTCCCATCATGATTGAAGGAGGTCATAGTTCTACCTTTTTCCTTTGATAGGCTTCTTATCATCAGCCACATGTTAAGCGAAACCCATCAAGATGCTATGAATGAATGGTTTGAGATCCTTGGCGCATATCAGCACCATTGTCACCTTCTTCAAGATCATGTGTTTTTCTTTTGGATTAATGGGTCATAGTGGTTGTTCAACAATGGCATATTGGTATCTGTATGTCATATGTATAGCTTCAGCCATTTGTTGGATTTCATTTTATTTTTCTGTCATTTGTTTGTTTTGGTATCCTATTTAGTACAGCAACAACAACTAGGATTCAGTTCCAAGCGAGTTAAGGTCCATGTCGCTCTATTTAAACTTTGGTATCTTACTTATTATAGCAATACAAATGTGTCTTGACGCTCATTTCATTTAAAAGCTTCCTAACAAAATAGCTTATTTCCACTGCCAAACCAGATGATCATTGAATAGAATGGATTTGGAGGTGATTACAATAAAATTTCTCTGCCTTAACCTTAAATAATCGAAGTCTTAATGCAAGCAAAGGAGGTGTCAGGTGTTACATTTAAGTGCTCCCCCTTATTATTGAAGTCTCTTGTTTGCCATTTTTATGTTGATGTCTTTCATGTCAATGGCATTTTACTAGCAATAAAGATGGTATGAACCCGAATCATTTCAGATGTTGGCAAGTATCAGCAGTCAGCAAACACTACTACTGATGACCTGCTTCATATGCGTTTTGCTTTTGGACTAAGTGGAGAGAGTTGGACTTACCATGGATGTATCATTAATTCAATATCTTTATATAAGATATTGTCTTCATTCATTTTTTGTATTTTGATTTGATTCGCTGGCCATTTTTCCTCTATCTCATTTATTCTTGCGTTAACGATTTTGTGCTTGATATTAGACCTGTGCTCTCCCTTTGTCCTCCTGCTATACATAAAGTTTGTAGTAATTTTTCACTGTTAGATGCAATCAAGGCAAAAAATGTCACATCCCCAGATACGGAAGCAGATCCTCTTCCTAATGTTGGAAGAGTTGCATTTTCCAAAAAATATCAGACAGCTCGCAACCCTAGATGTAAGGTTTTTCTTTATTTTGAATTACCTTTTTTATTACTTATGTCCCAAGTCCCAACCATTATATGATTTCAGAAGATGTTAACTGTTTCAAATATATATCTCTAAATTCTTTAAAAATTATAGTATTGTTAGTGCAGCTGATATGCCCAAAACTTCAGAATATGCTTTCTTCAAGAAGTTGAAAAAGGATGTTGGCCATAGTAATTCAGATCTTCTCCACAGAAGGAGTAAACTATCAAAGAATAGTACCTCAGGTGGGTTGCACTTTGATTCTAGCTACTAAACTTTCTGGTTCCTCAAAAGCTTTAAGAAAATTCAGCTTGCTTTATTTTATTCAGAAACCACCTTTTATTTGAAGGATTTAACTAATCATGCCTAATATGCAGACACAACGAGCACACACAACGTGCTGAAGTGTCCAAATAAGGACCTTAAAATCCCAATTCAAGTAGAAAACGAATATCAGACTAATGAACGCCAGTCCTTTTCACCTGTTGATGGTGTCATACGTAGGAAGCAGAGTATAATGTGTACAAGTAATATAAGCATCTTGACTCTGTTCGGTCGGTTGTTAATTTCAGCGACCTACGTGGTATGACAAAATGCAGGTATATCCAAGGAGGCAAAACTTAAGTCCTTTTCACTCCCAACTGCAGTGACTCCTGTAGATTCAAATTTGCGGCTGTCACCCCTTGCAGGTCCATCAAATAATTCAGGTTACCTTCCATCAGCCATTCAATTCTCTCTGAAACATTGATTCTTCACTTAGGATTCTGTCTGCATAGTTACGCTATCATCCCTCACCCTCTCTCTTTCGATGGATAAATATCGACTTGTGAGATGGACATGGGAAGAACTAGAATGACTGCCTTATTAGTGAGAATTTATCTTTATCCAAGGAAAAGAAGAAGAAAAAAAAGCTCTAGGAAATGTTATTACTGGACCCTTCACACTAAGAAAGAAGCTTGCTGTTTTTCAATCTGAATGCTCCTTACTATGAAGTTATTTTAGTGTTTAAACAGAGGTAAATATCAATGTCATACATTCAGTACAATAGTTGATGCAGAAGCACCACAATTTGTACACTGCTGAATCAGCATTACAGGCTTTCTCCTCAATTCTTTTTCATTTTCTTGCTAAGAGTTCAGGTAGGGGTTGATGCTCTATGCTTGGAGAAACCTCCTGGCGCTAATGTCTAAAAAGTTCCAGCATAACCCTTAGGTCGTTTGAGCTAGATTATTCAATCTACCAAGTGTTTCCTTGTATTAGCAGTCTAATGGCCGTAGTTTTTTCCACACTAGCAAGACTCCAAGAGGCCTTTTCTAGTCATGATGAAACAAGAATGAAAACCTTGTCTCTTTGAATATGTGCTCCATTGGTTTTTTGAAGTGGGGAAATCATATCTATATCTTGTTTCGTCTGTGTTCTGTTGTTGTCTTAGTTGACTGATTTCATTAACCTCAGCCAACTGATTATGGAGCTTGCTCTAGCAGTTTACAGGGCGTGTGATTAGACTTAGACGTAAACATTTACATCTTCCTTATCACTCTTAGGGAGCCAGTACTCTGGTAATGGAATTTTTGCTGCAAAGAGACAGAAACTACGTCAGCAGGCAAATGCACTGTTTCTTGACGTCGAAAAACTCAATTCTGAAAGGTCATCAAGATTAATGTTTTCAGTTGCTTTGATATCTTGATAAGTTCCATCTCAAATTGACTTATGGTTCCAGGTTTGATTTGGTTTCTGCACTTCTCAGCCGGCTGTTCCCTGGAAGGAAGGAGGGTGAAGTATGATCTCTTAGCTTTCTCATCAACTATACAAGTCAAATTTCTTTTCTTTTTTCTGACTTTCTGTTACTTGGAAATTCAGGATTTCTGGGATTCAAAGGTCAGGAAAGGGGATTCAAGTACTACCTCACTTGCACATGCTAAGCCAGATCATGCGCGACCTCATTCAAAACACAAAGAAGATGTTACAATACCAGAATATAGGATGAGCCAGACTGATGGCTGCCTCACTAATTTCTTTTGTAGGCCAAAGGAGAGAGTTCCCCTAGAATGGGATAACTTCAATTCTGCCTTTCATCTCATCGACTATGACGCAGAAACTGGTTTGCTCTGTGAAGATGTAGATAATAGTCAAATTTCAAACAACAAAAGTATAAGTTTGTGGGATCAGAGTGATTCATTGCCTTCATTATCCTTTGACCGGCATGGGTTTGCTGATCATCTCCTACCGGATAGACTTCATAGTGCAAATATACCTGTAAGCAGAGAAGCACAAAACTTATTCTTAGATTGGGATTTCAATGAGGAGAAAAATGATCCAGCATTAGCCATTACTACTAGCGGAGGGAATAAACTGTGTTCACCAATAGCCACCTTACCGCATGTTGATTACCAGCGGAGTACAGAAAAGAAGCTTGATGCGCTGGCACTGTCATCTTTATATACAAACTCTGCCTGCTTTGATGCACTGCCATATTTTCATTCAAACAATTTTCAGCAGAAACTCTTTCCTACCAAATTTTGCTCCAGGGACTTTGGAACGATTCTTGAACATGAGGAATGTGCAGTTGCAAGATTGGACCAGTTTGACCTACCCTTGTTATGCAACTCAGAAGATTTTAATTCTCTGGAAGATCATAATCCTGATTTTCGAACAATTCTTGAACATGAGGAATGTGGAGTTGCAAGATTGGACCACTATGACCAACCCTTGTTATGTTACTTAGAGGATTTCACTTCTCTGGAAGATTGTAATCCTGAGAATGCATTTGAAAGTGGCAATGTTATTGTCTCTTATCTTAGTCATCTTGAGAAGAATCATTGTGATTCTGAAGAACTCTTGCCAATTGCCTTGGATACATTCGGCTGGAATTTCCTGTCAGCAACCAGTTCCCAGTTGCAGAGGGGTTTATCTACTTATCATACTTTTAGATTACCTCATAGAAAAGATACAGTTGGTCTAACAAATGAGGAGATCAAATACAACTTGTATGATTTAAACCCAAGAGAAACTGCTCCTCAATCATTTGAACAGTCATTCAACTCTCATATCTGGTACTCTCGCAACTCTGAAGTATCTTGTGACAAAGCAAGGGGTGGATCTCTATTACTTGAAAATTCAAGCAGGGTTACATCTGTTGAAGAAATTTCTCCTGATCGTTCTGATGAATGGACATTGAGCTGAAGATTCACATATAGTTTTGACGGGTCCTATACTCATATTAAATAATCATAGTGCTGCCTCCTATTCCATTAAAGGTATGTTCTTTTTCCGTGATCATCCATCGTTTGGCCCTGTTATGTTGTGTTTGAGATTCAGCCATGTAAATAAATTGATTTCAAAACCAACTAGATTTCCTTTTTCTTCCTACAGAATGGAATTCCGCCAAGGAGAACACCTTTCATTTTTGGGTGTTTGTTGCTCTAGCGTGACAGTGATCCACTATGTGTAAATCACCCTTCCGGAAGCATTCAACAGACTAAAGGTATGTATCAGGGCCTTTAGTAGTACATTGTTTTCTGCGGTTGCAAGTAGAAACATAGTGTAATTCTGGTATTTTGCAATCCTTAGTTTCATTTACTATGTAAACAAATGTCTCATTAGGTATTTAGTATCTGCTGATGGCACCCTCTAAACAGCATCAAGCAAGACCTTGTTAGTTTTCATTTACACTAAAATGTGACACCTGACACCATGTTACACGTATGCAACCTACATTCTAAGGGGTCAACCGAGAAAGTATTTTGAAATGGAACACAAATATATATGTGAAAAATCACTAAATTTTCAAACATATTAAATTCTAAACCCATAATTTCAGAAGTACAATGTTTTCAGAGAACCTTTAAGATTAAATCCAATTTCTAAATTCGCATATGATATTAGGTAGGAAGAGGCAAGGGTGGCAAACGTATGAGTAACGTTATCCATTTTGGAGGGTTGGCGCTTCCTAATAATGGCCTCTTTTTGTATATTAAAATTGTTAGGATACTTTCCATTTGAATCCGCAGCATTTCATATGACAAGTGTACTCTTTCAGTTCTCAAAACTCTTTTTGTCTTTGCTTGAAATTCTTGTTCCCGTCTCCTTATGGAATACTAGTATATATACATATACTCAAGTTTCTTGTATTATCATGCAGTGTTCTTTTTGTTCGTTTTCCTTCTCAAAAACTGGAGGTCAACAGTGAAATGTCAATTACTACAAGGAATAATAGAATAAGCATACAAAAAATTGTACTGAATGAGCAGCTGTGTGGAGAATATAGACAAAAAAAATCAAAAAAAAAAAATGAGAAACTACTCTGACGAATCTTACTGTGGTCCCCCTTTTACTCTGTCGGCCAATCCTATTTGTGTTCATTGACATAATTTGTCGAACACTCCAGCTCTTATTCATTTTGGTTCTTGGCTTCTAAAGAATCTCTCAAAATATACTTAAAACAATTATTTAGTCCTATTGGCTCGTTTAACGCGTGAGAACAAGCTGACCTTTTGTGTCCTATTCTTAACAATGAACTTTTTGTATTCGAACTTTTGTTTCAGCTTCTAGCCGTCTATCCAAAGGCGTTCTTAGCTTTGCCATTTTACGAGTTCAAATTTGTTACGACCCCGGTTCACCCTCCGTGAACCATTGTGACGGCAATTAGTCTCTACGACTAGGTAAGCCTAACAATGCGGAAAAGAAACCAATTTGCGGAATAAATAATTAAAAACCGAAATAGTGAAATAAGACAGTATTTTAAAGTGTCGCTTGGCATACACAATAACAACTCTCGAAAACTAATAACATTTCCCAAAACTCGGAATCTCATGATCACAAGCCTTTGAATTTTCTATAAGCATTTAACTCCAGAATATCTAACAAGGAAAACGAAAGTACAGAAGGGCTAATACAAAAAAGGGGAGTAGAAAGAGACTCTTCGGTCTGCGGACGTGGCAGGTATACCTCGGAGTTCCTACAAGCGTCTCGCCTCACGAGTGATAAGTCTGAATGGAAGTACTTGGATCTACACATGAAAAACATGCACAAAAAGGGGAATGAGTACACCACAACGATACTCAGTAAGTGTTAAGCCTAACCTCGGTCGGGTAGTGACGAGGAAGGTCAGGGCCCTACTGAGATTAAATGAAATACCAGGTATAACAGAATGAGATAAGCAGTACAGTTGAAAACTAACAGTAAGAATTAATACAGGATAATAAAGATAACAACAATTGAAACAGAGAAAAAAACAATCACAAGGAAATACTAATCTTCACAAAGATAACACCCAGGGATCTCTTAGTACCCTAAATATATGCCAGGGATCTCTTGGTATCCCGATGATCTCTTGGTATCCTCAATGTATGCTAGGGATCTCTTGGTATCCTCAATGTATGCTAGAGATCTCTTGGTATTCCCAATGTATGTTAGGGATCTCTTGGTATCCCGAAGATTTTTTGGTATCCTCAATATATGCTGGGAATCTCTTGTTATCCTCAATATACGTGTTGGGGATCTCTCGGTATCCCGCACTTCAGCTCAAATCATAAATGCGTACAGGGGATCTCCCGGAATGTCGTCCCGTAGTCCCAAAGTAAAACACACAACAATGGCACAAAAAATATTCAAATAAACTCAACTTCATACCAAAGTAACACAGGCAATTCTAACCTAGCATACTTCACGTAATACAAATATGGCAGTTAAAGTAGATAAAGCAATTAAGTCAATTAGACATGCTTCTCTAAGCTATCAGCATGTTTAAAAGTGCAAGTAGAATAAATAGGAAGGGAAAACGCAATTAAAGTTGCTTCATGAAAATAGGATATTCAACAATTAGCACAAGTACGCACTCGTCACCTCACGCAAGGCATTTCAATTATCACAATACAAATCCTAAGGGGAAAGTCCCCTACACAAGGTTAGGCAAGCCACTTACCTCGAACCAGCTCAAATCAATCCGAAACCACGCTCTTGCCACGATTACTCGACTCCAAATGACCCAAACCTATTCAATTCAATTTCATAATGTAAATAACATTTCAAGTAACTGATTCTTCAAAGAAATTCTAAGCTAATACGCGGAATTAGGTAAAATGACCAAAATGCCCATTGGGCCCACATCTCGGAATCATGTAAAATTTACATTTCTAGAATCCTCACACTCTCATGAGTTCAGTCATACCAAAATCGGACCTCAAATGGTCCATCAAATCATCACTCAAAGGTCTCTAATTAGTCAAGCCCTAACCCCCAAATTACCACTGATTTTCCTTAAATATTCATATTATAATGATAAAAATTACCTCAATAACGAGTTTAGGTTCCAAGAATCTTACCTCCTCGAAGTTCCCTTGAATTCCCTCTCAAAAACCTCCCCAAAAGCTCACTTCCCGGATGAAAATGGTGAAAGAATAACTCAAATTCGCGAAGGCAACTATTTATATGTTCTGCCCAGCAATCCCGCATCTGTGGTCCACCCGTCCCATCTGCGATCCCGCTTCTGCGGTTGGGGAACCGCTTCTGCGGTTCTCACTTAAAACCTCTCTGCCGCACCTGCGACCCAGAATCCGCATCTGCGGTCTCGCAGGTGCGGTACATATTTTGCTTCTGCGGTTCCTGGCCCCTTCCTCATCTGCCGCTTCTGCGGCTGCATTCCGCATCTGCAGGAGTCGCACCAACAGCCTCTCAACCGCATATGTGGTTATGACAACAGTCATAGCTTCAGCTGCAATTCCAAACTCCAAATCCTTTCGTCAACCATCCGAAATCATCCCGAGACCCTCGGAACCTCAACCAAAAATACGAACAAGTCATATACCACTAACCAAACTTATACCAATCCTTCAAACACCTAAAACAACACCAAAACCTCGAATTAACCATGTATCCAAGCCTAAGAACTCCAAAATTCTCAAAATACGCTTTCGATCAAACAGTCTACCAACCCTCGTCCGAATGACCTGAAATTTTTGTACACGCGTCACATTTAACACTACGGAGCTACTCCAACTTCCGGAATTCTATTTCAACCCTCGGGTCAAAATCTCACTATCGAACCGGAAACTTCAAAAATTCAACTTTCGAAATTTCAAGCCTAAATTAGCTACGGGCCTCCAAACCACAATCCGATCACGCCCCTAAGCCCGAAATCACTCAACGGAGCTAACAGAACCATCGAAATTCCATTCCGAGGCCGTCTTCACACTGTTTCGACTATGGTCAATTTTTCAAAACTTAAGCTCTTATTAAGGGACTAAGTGTCCCAAAACTCTTCGAAACTCAAAATTGAACATCCTGACAAAACAAAATAGCAGAAATAAATACGGGGAAAGCAGTTAATAGGGGATCAGGGCGTAAATTCTTAAAACGACAGGTCGGGTCGTCACATCCTCCCTGAAGTAGTGAAAAGATTAGGGTAACGGCTGCGCATATCCTGCTCGGTCTCCCAGGTCGCCTNTCCCTTCATAGGCGATACCCGAAGCAGAACCCGCTCTCCAACCATATAGGAAACACCACGAACCTTCCAATCTGCATAGCTCTTCTGTCTGGACTGGGCTGTACGGAGTCTGTCCTGAATCACCTTGACCTTCTCCAAGGCATCCTGAACCAAGTTTGTGCCCAATAGTCTAGCCTCACCCGGCTCAAACCAACCCATCGGGGATCTACACCGTCGGCCATATAAAGCCTCATACGGTGCCATCTGAATGCTGGACTGATAGCTGTTGTTGTAAGCAAACTCCGCCAGTGGCAGGAACTGATCCCAAGACCTTCCAAACTTGATCACACACGCACGGAGCATATCCTCAAGAATCTAAATAGTACGCTCGGACTGTCCGTCCGTTTAAATGTTGTGCTTAACTCTACCCGAGCACCCAACTCATGCTGAACGGCCCTCCAGAACCGTGATGTGAACTGAGTACCTCTATCTGAAATGATGGAAACTGGAATACTATACAAGCGAACAATCTCCCGGATATAAATCTTCGCTAGACGCTCCGAAGAATAGGTAGTACACATAAGAATGAAGTGCGCGGACTTGGTCAGCCAATCCACAATCACCCAAATAGCATCGAACTTTCTCAAAGTCCGTGGGAGCCCAACTACAAAGTCCATGGTGATCCGCTCCCACTTCCACTCCGGGATCTCTATCTACTAAAGCAACCCACCCGGTCTCTGGTGCTCATACTTCACCTGCTTACAGTTGAGGCACCGAGCTACAAATCCAACTATATCTTTCTTCATCCGCCTCCACCCATAGTGCTGCCTCAAATCCTGATACATCTTCACAGCACCCGGATGAATGGAATATCGCGAACTATGGGCCTCCTTCAGAATTAACTTTCGAAGCCCATTAACATTGGGTACACAAATCCGACCTTGCATCCTCAATACCCCGTCATCACCAATAGTCACATCTCTGGCATCACCATGCTGAACCTTGTCCTTGAGGACAAGCAAATGAGGGTCATCATACTGACGCTCCCTGATACGATCAAATAAGGAAGACCGAGAAACCACGCAAGCTAGAACCCGACTGGGCTCCGAAAGATCCAATCTCACCAACTGGTTGGCTAAGGCCTGAACATCCATCGCCATAGGCCTCTCCGATGCTGGTAAAT